CTACGGCCTCGGCGCTCCCAGTTTATCTTGGCTACAGGCCTAGTTACGGCCCCGTATATCAAGGTACGCGACGCCGACGATGACACATCCCTAGACCAAGCCGCTCAAACAATGCTTTGTGCGTGTCGGTTACGCAGGGGTGCACTGAAAAAAAAATACTGTGGTGCTAAGGACAGCTGTAATACCCCCAAGAACATTTTGCTCTTGGATCGGCTTCAAGAACATATGTTCTTGGAGCTTGTTCTTGAGCTATGTCGTTGGGTCTATAGACCGGACGTCATTGCGGTAGTGACATGTGTCTTTAGGGTGAGCCATTCTTGTAGTTAGTTGAAATACGGATGTGCTTTCGCACTTGTCGTTGATTTCAGTACAGTGTTTGGTTATTGTTTAAAATATTTAGTATACGAGGTCCAGAATAATATCAGCATTTAATTATGATGGCGGCAAACAAAAGTTGCATTGGCGGGAGCCAGCGCAAGTTGGGCACTCTCTGACATGTTGTCAGTGGGCGACGATTCGTCACCAAGTGCCAAAAATTCAGCCCTACGTGCACGCTCAACGCCCACCTTCGGACGGGATTGAGCGCGCGCGTCAGGGGCTGCACAATGTGAAGAGTCTGAGCAAGAAGGTTAATGGAGACCACGCCGGAAGTGATCAGCGAGAGCTAATGTTGAATGCCATCTAGCGGCGTCTTCGGAAGCTGGCCAATCTTACAACATGGAGCCACGCACTGCCTGCCGCCAGGGGAAGCACCATCGTGCGTCTCGGGCGGCGACATACTGTCCTTGGTCTAGCGGCTTCTGTCATTGGTCTAACGTCAACCACCTACGACAAGCCACAGCAACACGCCTGTCCTTAGCACCACAGTAATTTTTTTTCAGTGTGCGGGCGGGTGGCTGTAGAGGAGCGGGGGGGTGTCTGGGGGGTGTCGGGTGCGCGCGGAGGCGAGGCGGTACAAACGGGGACGCGGTGGAGCTCGGGCCGCCGAGGGCGGGCGCCCACCGCCGCGCTCGCCGCGAATGACTCAGGGTGGCTGCTGCGACTGTTGGCGCGGCTTGCTTGGGGGATTTCATCGATTGTCGATCTGGTTTCGCCGTCGTCAGATTCCGCACTGCGATTATCCCTTGCACCTCCCCCCCCCTCTCTCTCTCTCTCCCTCTCTCTCTCGTCCTTTCGTGTCGCGCTGCTCGGCCCTCCTCCCCCTCTTCCCTGACCAGAAGCCACCCCCGGGTGCCGCGGCGGGACAGGGCAGGCGACCCGTGTAGGTCAGGAGGGGCTAAGCCGCACCCCGACCGCACGGCACGACCCGGCAACGCTGAAAGTGAATAGCATCACACCCTTGCGGCAGACATCTTACTCGCAACAAAAATTCAACCTTGCCCTTTTTATGTGCCAAATTTTGGACGTATTTTTATTTTGATGAGACTGCAAATTTTAAGCCTTTTTACTTTTCAAAATTTAATCTTCTTTTTAATAAAATAGACCACCCCGTTTTACACGCCTTTTGGCAAGCAAAGGTATTTATTTTATTTGTATTTAAGTTTCAAGGCCTCTTCTCGAGGAAACTACAGGGGGCTCCATCACGCATCATGCAGACCTAGTAAGTAAACTTGTGGCCTATCGGACACTCTGTATTTTGGCCAAGTTGCGGCCCATCCCAGTTTGCTTGCAGCCTTTTGCTGAGCAAAGCAAGGAAACACGCCGCCGTGGCATGATGAAGTCGTCGCATCGGGCCGCTGCAAGCCGGCGGTGCCACCCCTGCCTCCTTTGAGGCTGACTGTACCCCCCGCGGGAGACGTCTGCTGTCCTCTGATGGGTTGCTGCCGGCCCCGAGCACCCGCCGCCGCCACCCCTCCGCGCGTCCAAAGTTGGTCGTTCGAAGTGAGCGAGTAATGTAGCTCACGGTCGCTGCTGCTGCTGCTGCTGTCGTCCCTGCTGCCGCCGCCGCCCCCCAGCCGAGCCCGGTCCGTAGTCCCTCCATTAACACAAGCGCTGGTGGGAATAAGTCAGCGCCAGACAGTTGGGGGACGACGACTTTACCGAGCTGACCGTCACCGCCGCCCCTCGCCCTGACCCTATGGGCGCTGCTTGCCTCCGCCCCGGCCCGCCGCCCCGCCCGCGTCAACAGAGACCATGTGTGTGAAAGCAAAGTATGGGTCCCAAGCCGTGCGCATGGTGCGCGGACCCGTTCACGATGGAGTATATATGACGCGTCAACTATGGAGGTTTATGGGTCCGGGCACTAGGCGCAAAACTACTCACAACATTTGTCAAAGAGCCGTACACTGCGCCCTCCGCCCGCACGCACAGGGGTACACTATCCTTTTGCAAACGATTCTGGCTGCTTTGGAATTGCGAACCAATTTTGAACGATTCCTTTTGTAATTTGAAGCAAATCCTTCGAACGATAATTCCTTTGCAGGCGTACGAAGCAGCCTAATCCTTAGGAATACGAACAAATTCCACCGCAAGGGGTTGGGCGGGCCGCGCGCTGCGCACGGCTGTTGGGCGGGCTGGCCTACCCCACGCGCTACAGGCGCCATAACAATAGTGTGGCTTAAAAATCCACTTAACACGCGTTCCCTTCAGCATGACCACTATTTGGTCACACTCCCATGTTAAGTCATGGGCGTCACAGGGAACGTGTCAACACGTTGTGTGCGGCGTGGGGGGGTAGGAAATCCCATGTTAATGGGACCCACTGTGTGGGCCACTGAACGTGAACACTAAAAGCTTTTGAACATTTTTATTCATAGATTACTGAGTTCTGTGTACGTGCTCTGCTTATGCATTTTTTAATACGCCAGTATGAACAAATTTGTTCACACTGGCGTATTTAAAAATGCGTAAGCAGAGCACGTACACTGTTATTTCAAAGGCGTCCCGTCAGAGTGCGACAAAGGTGTAGGCTACAGAAACCAGTGCGACTTAAGTCGCAGTCTGGGCATACACCTTTGTCGCACTGCCACCATACACCTTTGCCTTTGTATGCAAAAAATGCCGGACAGCCCTTAAGCCCCCTGAGCGGGTGCTTGGCCTGCATACCCAGCCGAAAATTCCGGTTACGGTTACGGCTACGGTTACGACTACGGTTACGGTTACACTCGTAAATTGGACCAATTTCCGGTTACGGTTACGATTAAAGTTCCGGTTACGATTACGTTTACTGTTTCGGATACGATTACGGTTAGTCAGCCCGGTTACGGTGAGAACGTTCCGGTTACGGTGATGACGTATTGGCAGTAACTCAAAGCCCCTATGAGACCAGAGCACATGTCGCCCATGTAAACTTTTGATGCCGAGCACAATGGTGGTGTTTTCGTTGCGGTATCTCTAACAGTTCTCAAGATAGCCAGGGGTTGAAAAATCGACTCTTTCCAAACTCCAGACATAGGTTTGACTTGTGTTTCCCTTACGTTACCCTTAACCGTTTCTCCCTGCAAAGCTTAGTTTAAGCGCTACGACGTTTCAAAGTTTGATATTTTCCGGTTACGATCGTAATCGTTTCACATTACTCGTAACCGTAACTGCTGACCGTAACCGGGCTACGGTTACGGTCGTATTCGTAAGCTTACTCGTAACCGTAAGTGTAAACCGTAATCGAACTCCGGTTACGATCGTAATCGTAAATTTTAACCGTAACCAGAGCAAATCACGGCCGTAATCGTAAATTTTGACCGTAACCGTAGCAAATTACGGCCGTAATCGTAAATTCTGGCCGTAACCGTAACCGGAATTTTCGGCTGGGTACACCTTGGGAGTGCACTCCATGGGCCTGGAGCCCACGGCTCACAGCTCCCTCAAACCGTGTACTATTTTACCCAGCACAAGGTGTATGGAGGCCAAACACCTGCCCAGGGGTCTTGTCAGGGGCTTGGGGGCTGTCTGGCATATTATGCATACAAAGGTGTATGGTGGCAGTGCGACAAAGGTGTATGCCCAGATTGCGACTTAAGTCGCACTGGTTTCTGTAGCCTACACCTTTGTCGCACTCTGACGGGACGCCTTTGAAATAACAGTGTACACAGAACTCAGTAAGCTATGAATTAAATTGTTCATAAGCTTTTAGTGTGTGTTAAGGACCGAGTATAAACTTTTCAGTGATGGGACCCCTTTTTCATTAATATACTATTTTTTTAAAAATGTTATATAAACGCAGCAGTTGGGGGGCGGGGGGGATTGTGTGTTAGCCCCGCGCGACGGGCTCCCGCCCGCGGCCCTGCCCTCTCAGCCTCCGCAGGTCGTGGTAGCGCGCCGGCATCCGAGGCGGCAGCCCTCGAGTCAACACGCCATCATCCTAATTGCAAATAGTGGCGGGGCGCTGGCTGGTGGGCGCTGCTGGCGGGCGCTTGGCGGGCAGGTGCCCCGGGATATGACGCGCCCAGCCACTCCCGGCGCATTATGCGGTTTGGTGCAACGCCTTGCGGCCCCGGAAGCCTTCCCGTAAATTCACATTTGCCTGCGGGCCTCGCGCGGCCCGAGAACGAGGTTATGGCTGGCGGCGTGGGGCGACGAGGTGAGTTGTGCCCCTGTGCTGCCAGCTCCGGCGGCTGCCAGCCCCGGCCGCCAGCGCGCGGTGCAGCAGGGCGCGGGGACTGGTGGCGGGGGCCCTGCCACGATAAACCACTTCTAGCGTTGCATTGTGTGTCGCGCCAACCTGGCAGGCGCCCGTTGCTATAAAAGATGAGTAGGTGGCGTCAAGAAACTTGCAGTGTTTCGTAAAAGAAATTGGTTTCCTTTTAACAAATTAATAAGACGAGTAGTACCACAGGCAGGCCTCTAATCAGAAAATGACAAGCAGGCCTGTGGTCCCTGCCGAACGGAGTTGTCAGCCGAGCCAAGTGAGGCTGGCCACTCCTTTTTGGAGAAAGAAGGCGAGCCTGCGGGCCTGCTTGTTTTTACAGAATGAGGTTGTTTTATTATATTTTTATTTGTTTTTCGGAGCGGCGGCCGCGGTGCCGACCGGATACCCCGCGCGCTTCGCTCCTTTCCGCTCTTTCCTTCATCCTTTTCCGGGGAAAAGTTGTTCTAGTCGGTCTGGCACACAACGCCCACGGACCGGCGCGCCCGCCGCCACCGCCAAGCGTCCCGCCCCGCCCCGCCCCGCATAGCCATGGCACGGTCCCGAAGCTGTTTCTTTTTGGGGGTTGAAAACTCGCTGCCGAAACTAAGCAGCGACCACGCTCGAGGAAAGTTATATTGTGTCGCGTGCGCCGAACTAAAGAGATGATTTTGCATTACCCACGGTCTTTGGTTTGTGTTGGGTTTTTTGCGTGTGTGTGGTTGGCAGAGGTTTAGAGAAGAGTCCTCGGGGGCCCACCCCACCGCTCAGTGTTTCTAAGCCTGGAGAAC